GAAGAATGAGGACAATGAGTTCTGCCTTTCACATGATAGCTTTGAGGATGCCAGAAGGACCTTACCTCTCTGGAACTCTCCTGGCCTTAACAATCCCTTTAAGTGTTCCTGGAGGAAGTGCTTGAACAGTGGCAGGCATAGGGAGTACAGAAAACTCCTCCCTCTTGCACCTGTGCTGCAACCAGAGAAAAACTGATGACTCGCAGAAAAATCCAGCCACCATCTGGCTGTTCAAGGACCCCTCCTAGGTGCTGACAGCATTGTCATTCAAGATAATGAAGATTAAAACCAACAGTGAGTCAGAGGGACAGGATCTCAGCAGGCAGCCTGGCTGGACTTAACCCCTTCGTAGCCAAGCAATTTTTACCCTCCCCTGTGAAGGGCAGGAGGAGGTGGCAAGGCCCCTAGTTGAGAGATTACAGATGACTTGTCCAAGGCAAGGATGAAATGGAGAAACTCCCAGCAAAAGTACTGGCTGTGGGGAAGTAAAGAATTCTACAGCAATGACAGATGTCACATACCATTTGCCCATCAGTCAACAAGGTACATTGGGCTGGGAAGCAACTGTACTTTCACTTCATTTATCAAAGCGATGTATGTGCCTACACCCTGACACTCAAGGCCTGGACTCACAGCCACTTTATCTTCAAGGGACACTCCACCTCTTCCATTTACAGAAAGAGGTGTCCAGCCCAATCAAGTTCACTAAGCAAGTGCTGACCATGTTGGCTGACAACATAAAACTCAGAGGAGCTCTGTGGGGAAGAGAGCACAAACAATGCGAGAATGCAAGCTGCCAAGACAAAGGGAGCTGGCTGCTGTCAAGCTCTCTCTTCCCTCCACCTCCCAGGTGTACAAACTGTCACAGCCATGTTTCCTCTGTGAGGGGCAGGAAATGGTGCAAAGCATACTCTGGGGCTATATGCCTGGCACCAAAGTTTGGAGTTCCAGCTCTGCTATGTATTAGCTGCGTGACCTTGGAAACTTACTTAATAGCCCCAAATGCCTCAGTTTCCCCAAAAACAGAATAAGGATGACACATAACTAAATACTTGGGCTACTATGAGAAACCACTGAGTTTGCATATGTCAAGCATAAAGAACAAGTGGCAGGCTGAGGGTATAGAGCATATCCTGGGTTCAATCCCCAGTGCCAGCAAAAAAAAAAAAAAAAAGAGGGCTGGTACACTAAAAGCATTAGGCAATGTTGACAGGTATCAGCAATGAAAATTATGGTGGTGATGGTTGTCTTGAATGGTAGTCCATTCAAACTGCTTTAACCAAAAACCATAGAGTGGGTGGCTTATAAACTCCAGAAACACATTCCTCACAGTTTGGGAGACTGAGAAATCCAAGATCAAAGCCCAATAGATTATGTGTCTAGTGAAGACCTCTTTCACTAGAGGTGAAATGCAAACATTAGTCCATAGCAACAGTGGTGATGATGACAAAGTACTGGTGATAATATTTTCTCTTGCATTGGGGTCCTAGGAGCATCTTTACTCTGCCCCCATATTCTTCCAGCAACACGTTCAAAGGCAGGGAAGCCAGGCCTGGAGAGTAGGAAGATGTTGGGAAAGAGTGGGGAAGAGCTATTTTGAGAGTGGGGCAGGAAGCACTAGGAGCTGATGCCTACCCAAGTCTCCAGGTGGTACCTGGGGCCCACAGGAATACACTCAGGGTTGCCAGTGGCCTTCTGGACCCAGATGTTGTAAAAAGTATATTTAACTTTAAAAAAAAGGGTAATTGAACAAGAATTCCATGGTATGTCTGCCTCTCTCCGCTCGGTGGCTGTGTATCTTCCAGCCACGGTCAAGTCCACAAGACCCCCTTCACTCCCAGGTATAGGCATCCACTGAGGAAAAGGGGAAAGGATGGCATGGAGTCCTCATAAAACACGCAAGCAGGCACGTGCACATGCATACACACATGCACAGACTTGAACCCTCAATGAAGGTAACATTCAAGCTGCTTGGCTTTGCACATAAAGCTCTTCCCAGCCCAGGCAGGTATAATCCCAAAGCCATCACTTCCTTTGAAAATCTCAGGCTCCTGGTATTTGAGTAACGGGTATAGAATAGTGCTCCCTTCCATACATCTCAACACTGTCTCCTTTCCTCCTGCGACCCACCGTCCACAGGCTCTCCCTCCTTTCTTTCACCTGACTCCCACTCAGCTTCCAGGATTTGGGAATCAAATATCTCTCATGAAGCCTCCTGCCAAGAGCCCCTTCTCTGGGCTCCCGTAATACTATGCTTCCTCTGGTAGAGCCCTTTCTATGCTCACTGAGGCCAAGGACCCCAAGTGCAGGCACCCACCATGACCAGGTTCCAAGCAGCTGGGATATGCAGTGCTCACTAAACTGTGGCTCTGGGATCATCAGAAGGCACCCAGCCAGCCTTTCCTGCCATGCAGAGTCAGACAAAAGTGCTAGGCAGCAAGCTAAGCCCGATAAACACTGAGTACTCCCACCTTACAGATAAGATAGATTAGAAACAGAATTCCCAAACTCTGCTGGTCTGGGAGTGCAGAGATCAAAAATACAAATGCAGGGACTATGACAAACTCAAGTCTCAACCAAAATGTGGTCAGTAACCAAGGGAGTCAAGACCCAGAGTCTCCAGGCTCTGTGGCAGTGGCTCAGCTCCATAATTGTAGTACTCAAAAGAATGGAAATCAAGAAGAACCATCCATGGCAGGGCAACCCCATGGGACTAGAAACAGGCCAAGTAAGCTATACCCAGTCCTGTTCCTAGCCAGGGCTTCCAGCTGCCACCAGTAGCATCTTCCATGGGATCCAGTAGAGCTCAGTAATAGCAGCAGAGCCTGACCATACCCCTTTTGATCCAAATCCAGATTCCAGCCCATGCTGTGTGGCCCTGAGAGAGCTGACTGACACTCTAGTCCAAGGCCCAGAGGGAATAGGGCCCAGTATACACTAAGGGCTCAATAAGTGCTAAATGTTATAAACCAGTGCCCAGACAGGGCTGGCAGGCACCACAGTATGTCTCAGGTATGGCCCGTGCCCACAGGTTGGTAAATACAAGCCATCACAATTCAACAAGTCTTGGAGCCTATATACCTTCAGGTGAGCTGTGGAAAACTTGATGCAGGTAATCCCACCCACAGCCCACTGCGGGATGGGATACGGTCAACACCAGAACCCAAAAGCACTACGCTCATCAAGAAGATTATAATAGATCAGTCCAGAGAGCGAACTGACTTTTATGATAAGTTTAATAATTTTATCTCCTCAATTAGATTTTAAACTCCCCAGTATCTGAATCATGCAATCACAAGCTATATTCGAGTCAGTAACCCTACATTATAGGCTGAGCTGTGTTCCCCTAAAGTTCATATAGTAAAGTCTTAACCCTCAGAATCTAAGAATGGGAATGTATGTGGAGATAGGGCCTTTAGAGAGATAATCAAAGCAAAATGAGGTCATTAGAATGGGCCCTAATCCAGTCTGACTGGTGTCCTTATAAGAAGAGATGAGGACACACACACACACATATACACAAGGACTTGGACAGAAAGCATCTCTGCAACCCACAGAAAGAGAGAGGCCTCTAGAGAAAACAATCCTGCCTGCTGACACCTTGACCTCAGCCTTTGAGTCTCTGGAATGATGAGAAAATAAATTTCTGTTGTTTAAGCCACCTGGTCTGCAATACCTTGTTATAGAAGGTCAAGCAAACTAACACAACAGATGAGGTGGGTCTTGGTATATGACTGTTGTCATTTTAAGAGAACATTGAAATTCCATAAGTTAAATGATGGCTGGAACCTCTGGGTGACTAGGTAACAAAGCTGGGCTCCAAGGAAGTTAGCCTAGCTCGTCCCACCCCTTCCTAAAGCTCTCCATGTGCTCACAAGAATTTATGTCTTATAAAAAGCATCTACTCTGTGCCAAAGATACAGCAGTGACCAAAAGAGACAAGGTCCCTTACTAGTAGATCTTTCAGACAAATGGGAAGAAAAAGAACCATCATCAAGGAGATATAAAATCTTTACCTTCAGAAGTATCTGGAAAGTGGTAAGAATACGAGCAGTCTATTTTCTCATTCTATTCTATAGTTTTTTGCTGTAAATACGTAAGCCAAACCAGGCTTTTTACAGCCAAACTGTAAAAGTAAAACTGAGGTAGGAAAGTAACTATCCATTCATTTCACTCTTTTTTAAGTGTATAAAAAAATCAGCCAGAGGGAAGTCAGAACCCCTCAGTGTTTCCATCATGTTATATTCCTCAGCAAGAAAGAAATGATAAAAATGATAAGGATGGCATTCCTGTGCAAGACAATCTTTCCTGATAATGTTGGAGGCTAAACTTGTTTCAAAGAATAACCTGCTCAGAGATATGGATTTTGTTTTTCTTCTCCCAGATGAGAAGTCACACAACAGCAAGTACTCTCCACCAGGAAAAATTCTGGCAAAACTGGATGGAGCTGAATTGCAGTTTATAGCTAGTGATTATGCATAAATTTTTATTATGTGTTTATCAGGACTTTCTGTTGCTATAATATTTTACTACTAGAGAAGCATTTATGCAACCTCCTGTGGCATCTTTGTCTTTTCATGTACAATTCTACACTTTGGAGTCCATAATAGCAGGTCCCTGAAGACTTACTAGGATTTTCAACCTCCTGGATGTCCGGGTGCCTTCTCAGCAGGGATTAACCACACTGCTGCCTAGGAGGGAGGCTGCAAGGACTTTGTAATTCCATCCCACCCCTCCTACCCTCCAGTGCACAGTGCTTTCACAGCCACAATAATCAATGTACCGGATGGCATTTGGGATGAAATAAAAAATTCACCAGCATCCCCCAGGTTTGGGTTGCTGAGCTACCTAAGAGGTGGGTGAGAAATGACATCTGAGGGCCTGGCAATATCTGCAAGCACTTATTTATTCATGCTAAAAACATGCTGGCACTACCATGGCTCCACTTTGAGAGTCACTGTAATGAAGCACTAAGTTAGAAGCCAAGTTCTGCAGCTCACCTGGCAGGGAGAAATCCCTCCAACTCTAAGCTTCCTTTCCGCATCTTTAGGCAGTGAAAAGTACAGTACCATGGCTCAGCATTAGAAGGGCCCTGAAATGAAAACAGACTTGTGAGCTCCTGGTCCACATTAGGCATTCAAGTTATGCTAACTTGTGAATGGATAGTCACTGCTTATTGGTGAGAGGAGAGATGAGGGCAGAAGTGACCATCGCTGGGTTCCTCTTCCTCCCAACTGTATATGCCCTGGCCCAGCCTGATTCTGCAAGGACAGACACAAGGCTCAGCACACAGATAGGATTTTGTATGCAACACTCTACTGTATATTTTTGTACATACACAAGTGAATGCCCATAGGGAAGAAGTCACATTCTACAGTCTCTCCAAAGGACCTCTGACCAGGAAAGGCTGACAGTAACCTGTGTGAGTCCAGCTCAGCCTGCTCTCCACAGAGCTGGTAGAGAACAGTGAAGGCACATGGTTCAAAGGGGATAGTCACATGTACCCATCTCACTGGGAAAAAAGAAGTTAATCCAGACATAGTGTGAGGACAAGGCCTAGGACATTGTAGGTGCTGGCTGTCATTATGATCTGATTATAAAAAGCAAAGACTCAGTGAAGTCTCTAGGAATGTACCTAGAACAAAAAAAAGAGGGGGGGTTGAATGGGACCTCCCATGGACCCCAGAATAGTAAATGTAGTCAATGTAATCAGGAGAGAGTCTGGAGCTTGAACTCACACAGTTACAGGGACCTCAGTGGGTCCCTCCATATCTAGGAGACCTGACCTGCCTCAGAGTCAGGTCCCACCACCACATGGCTTTTCCCAACAGCGCTTCTCTGTCACTGAAGACTGCTTACACCTCAGGACCTTTGCAGTTGCTATGCCAACTGCCTAGCATTCTTGATTATTGTAATCACCCAAACCACTACATCACCTCATCTATGCCCTATCCCATCAATCTGGATTATTTCCTTTATAGCACTTAACTCTTTTTAAAACAGTATTTTCTAGGATTGGAAGTTTAGCTCTTTTTTCTATATTCTTTTGCTAGAAAATGTAATATGCAGAAGGCACCTCTGTTTCTCTAAAAAAGTACCCCGTACATAGCAGGGACAACAGAACTATTTGCTAAAGGAGTGGATTCCTCTCTAGTTGCTTCTGAGTAACTGGTTTTCTCTATATTTCTTGCCAACATTCTCAAAAATACAAGAAACTCATCTGTGCTATCACAGGAGTCAGGTTCTTGCACTATCACAGAAGGGATGCTACCCAAAGTCTGCAATGGCCACAGTGTGTCCGCTGCCCACCCTTAAGCCAAAGAGCATAGATTCCCAGGATGGCCCCACCAACAAGGGTAAGGCCATTTCTATCAGCAGGTGTGGGGAGGAGGGGGAGCAGGATTGGTGGTGGCCAATCCTATGATTGTCATGTTAAAGGTACAGGGTCCTTACCATACTTTCTAATATAAATATCCTGTTACCTCCCAAGAAAACTATAAATTTTGTAACAACAAACACTTGCATGACACCTTGAAGAAGGGCTAATTCAAAGGGAGAGACTAGACCATATGGATTGTGAAAAATAAAAACAGTGACTAAAAACAAAGACAGTAGAAGTGAAAAGCATTTGTAAACTGGAAAACCTTCCCAGGAGTTAGTAGTATAGATTACTAAGAACATCTGAGTCCATGGGGCACCTTCAAAAAGTCCTACAGAAGAGTGGACCCAGGTGAGAGCATCCACATCCAGTGGACAGAGCAGCTTCTGAGTGAGAAGTCTTGGGGGCTAGGGTACAAATGGCTCTTCCACTATGTGCTCCCTATGTGCTGGACATGAAGCCTCAGGGAGGGGAAGGTTCAGGACACTCTACATTTACAACAGGAGTCAAGAAACATTTTGTGTAAAAGGTCAGAGAGTAAATCTTTGAAGTTCTGCATGCCACACCATCTCTGTCACAATTACTCAAGTCTGCCATGATGTCATAGGAGAACAACCACAGACAATAGCAATCAATAGGTATGGCTGTGTGGCAGTAAAACTTTATTCAGAGAAAGTGAAATTTAAATTTTGTACAATTGCCATGTGTTAGGAAATAGTATTCTCCTAATTTTTTTAACCATTTAAAAATGTAAAAGCCATTCTTAGCTCAGGGTTGTGTGAAGACAGCCCTGATCAATGGTCTGCAGACTCCTGCTCTCTACCATTACCCATTACTCCCTCCTATCAGCTGGTCTGAATGCTAAGGTTTTCCTGACACTCCATGCTGGGGCCATGGTGGCTGGAATCTTCTCTACTCACTCTTCAGTGACTCACTGAATACGAGGTTTTCCAAACACGCTTTTGTAAAGTTTGTCCTTGCGCCTCTAAAGCCACACCTTTGGCAGCAGTTCTCAACTGCACTGTACAATGGCCCATCCTACTGGGGATGAGTTCCAGCTGCTACAAACTCTTCTGAGCTGCTATCCCCCCCACCATAGCCCTCCCCCAAAGGCTTATACTCTCTCTTCAACAAAATTAGAGATAAGGGCAAAATAGTTTCTGCTGGGTATTGAGAGGTTGGGGGGAGAGGGAGGGGGCGGAGTGGGTGGTAAGGGAGGGGGTGGGGGCAGGAGGGAGAAATGACCCAAGCCTTGTATGCACATATGAATAATAAAATAAAATAAAATAAATCAAGAGGTATCCAGTACAGCTATGTGACTTGCCCAAAGTCACACAGCTACTAAGAGACAAAATGAAGACTGAAGCACAAATTCTCTGGAACCAAAAATATTA